TCGATTTGCTCTCGCGCTATAGCTCTATCATCGGTCGCACGCTGCTGTGAGAATACTGTCAGCTGTTCGCTTCATTGTTTTACGCGGCGTGCAAACATCAATCATATCCCTTTCTAACCCGTAGCGGTCTTTAAGACCTTTGTCATATAAATAGCAAATAAATAACTGTGTAAGTGTACCGATGTTTGTCACGCCTATAGCTGCAGTGCAAATTCTCCGTCCATAGCTTCGTCTCGTTATTGTGGATGCCACTGTTGTTAGCTACACAACAATAACCCTGGGTGATATTGCAGATATATGTGTTGCCACATGCTATGACATCGTGCTTTATGGTGGCACAATATGTATTCTCTCTGAAAAATGCCCCATACAAGTCGTTCAATACGCACATGAAAGATTTGATTTTACGCTCTGTGCAGACGCCGATAAATGAAGCTACGTTCTTGTGCAAATCGAGCGCATTTCTAGTGCGTGCTGGCGTGTACTTGGCGGCTTATTGTGCAGTAGGATACTAAATTGGTTGGTTCAGTCATTCACCTAATTTACTACAAAACTGGAAAGTGGTACGAGTACTTCGATCTCAGTCCGCACGATCCGGTCCTGGACGTATTTCCCTGAACCTTCCACGCTGGGATTACCACTCCTTTGTAGTAAATTAAGTGAATGACTGAACCAATCAACCTAGTATTTGTTGGTTCAGTCATTCGCCTAATTTACTACATGCCGTGATTTGATTATATATGATATCGCGATGCAGTAAGATATAGAATATCGACATACTGTCAACTCGTGCACGTCGAAGTTGTAGTGCTGTCGCGATAGATATATTGTCGCGGCAGTCTTCAATATAAGCATTTATAATACGAGCTGATCCCAGGCTGCCAGCTTCTGGTTACCCTTCCGTGACTCTGACTTATCCAGACTCTGTTACTCATCGCTGCTAGAACTATTTTCCAAATTTGTCATTCCAGAGTGTGAGGTTGGCTAGTCTGTCAATGTAGTCTAAATATTCGAATAGCGCCAATAAAACTATACAAGCTTCTCCAGCTTCTGGAAGAACTGTGCCATACATTTACCTGTGAAGGCTCGCTCAGCCTGTTTCTCTCTCTCTTCGTTCAGCGAATATCTCTTTACGGATCCTATCACGTTCTGCACGGAATACTGGGGTTAAGATATAACTTACCACAGTAGGTATGGATGTAGCACCGTGCCTCGACCTTCCCATACTACTACTCACACTATATTGTACATATGGGATAAAGCTACCCGTCTCTTTCCTCGCCGTCGGGCATCTACCTTGCGACAGTGTCTGCTCGTGTTGCGGTTTTAACGGTGACTTTGTCTCAGACTTGAGGACTTTTTGCCGGGACGCTGTTTCTGAGAACCGGTTGGCTCTAAAGTGCATATATAACCAGTTTGTTTTTTAGCAGTATCAACTATTCTGTTATATTTGCTGACAAGCATAGCGTCCTTGACCAGAAAGTTGATCCATTGTTTTCCTATTTTGCGGATCGGAACTTCGTGTCGGCAGCTTTCTTCCTAAATATTCTCCCTGCACACTTTCTGACTAAGCGTATATGTCTACAATATAGCATGTGTACTTACCTTGCGGACCAAAAGCACATTTTCTAGCTGATAGTCGTAATCTCACATGTTTTCGCGATGAGGGCATGCATCAGAAAGCGTGTTAATTCTGAACTGCACCTTTGAATATTAGTTTTTCTCGTTTGAAATGCTTCGCATTCATAAACGCACCCCCTCTACGCTTATTCAGTGCAAAATTGATCTCAAGCTGAGATATACTGGGGTGCAAGGCTTTCACCCTTTTTGTTGACTGTGCGTCAGCTTCCTGGTTTTGGACTTTATTGTTGGTCTTCAACGACTTGGGCAGTGCATTGATGCGGTCACCAAATTTAATAAATACAGCCATTGTCGCCACATATACAGTGTTTCAGGGTTTTTAGAGGTTTAGACTGTTTGGTTGTGCACTCTTTTTATACTGTTTAGTTGTGCAATCTTTTGTTTGAATGATTACAGTTTGTTCATAGCAGACATTAGTATAAAGGATGTGCTTTTCTAAAAATAGATTGTTACAATTTTAAAGTAGATTGTCACAATTTTAAGACCATGTAAACATAATTATTTGGCTGCTAAACGCTGTTTTTAAATTGAGTCATCAATCTCTTTTATTTTAACTAAAAATCGCGTATGAACCGGGGCAAAATGACCAAAATCTTGGAGCAGTGACTTTTTTTATCAATTGCGCTATTGGACCAAACCCTAATTTATCATGCTTAACGTAATATGCCGGGAAATATGACCTATTCGTTCTTTTATATCAACACCATAGCATCAATATTTTGCAAGTTAGCAGTTCTGAGAAGTTCACGCTTACAGAGCACGGAAAACACCATAACAGCACATATATTGGTGCTATTAGACTATTCTTAAGCTTGAGAAATCCTTTAAACACCTCTATAAATACGTAAATGGTCATTAGATTGTTTTAGAATCAGATTCAGATGTTAAAGCTTTTACAGTTTTTCTCGTATGAGTGACTTTTTAGACTTCGTTTTGCAGTACAAAGGCTTTGCCTTGATCATATCATCCTTTGGGAAGTCTTCAGGAAGACTTATTCGTTCGCTCGTACAATGCTTTCAATGCAGGTATCAATATCTGCCACTAGATTTCAGTATCCACTTCTACCATATCCATTATGTCTTGTTGATATACCTTGGGGAAACTTTCTGTCTTACGTGTTTTTTAACAGCAGGCGGTAAGTATACTTCGCCTATAGCCTTAGCGTCGGCCTCGGATAATCTCTGCTGCTTTTCCATTTCAATTTCCCTTTTGCGCTTATTTTCAAGACTCTTCTTCGCATCGGTCATAATTGATATCTGTGTCCGTATATCCGTTGACATCTGTGTTCGTATATCCATTGATATCTGTGTGCGTATATCCATTTCTTCTGGAAGCGAATACCTCCCAGGCTATATCAGCTTTAGTTGGGCAAGCTTTGATCTAGGTTGCATATTTAAGTAAGGATCCATCGCGCCAATTTCAAACATATCCTTAATATCTTCTACATACTTCTTGATAAATGATGTACCGTATTGTTTGCCAACCGGTCTTCGTCTTGCCCATCCCCTCTTGAGCTTAGGAGGTTGAATGATCTTGGCCAGTTCTATCTCCTAAAATTCGTCGCAAACATTACGTACTGCTACGGCATGCAAAACAATTAACGCATTTGCAGATCTGATAGCTGTAGTAAGCATATCAGCTCTATTCTTGGGCCCATTATATTCTCCTGTTTGTCTCTACCTCTATCATGTGGCCCAAGAATAGTGCCAAATTTTGACTGTTTAACAACGTGCACATTTGACAAGCGTTTCGATCCTTTATCTGGATCACCAGAGCCATAATATACGAGATCGTTCGCTGCAATACCTGCATTAAAGAACAAAGTCGCTAAATATACACTGAAAATGTGAAGAAAAAAAGTCACTAAATGTGCATTCACACATTTTACCGATGAAAACGTACTGAAATATAGATCAAATATGTACAAATGTACATTTTAGCGACAACTCCAATTTTTATATTAAAATTTACTGACTTTGTCGTGCAAAATTTGCTTACATTTAAATCCATAAATCGGTGCAGCATGGATCGTATACGAACTGTATAATAAATTGCTGAAGCTGTGTGCATTTCTTGTACTTTTCATACACAGGTACCTTTGTTTATTTTGTTTTACATCCACACACGATTTTGTAGATGTGTGAGTCGGTTGTCAGTTGCCACACATCGGCATTTTGAACCGGACAAAAATAGAAAAATCGCCCTTTTTTTTTGCGTCGAATCCAGGTGTCATAAAAAAAAATACAGCACTGTAAAGTTACTAAATGTACATAAAAAGTCGCTAAAAGAACTTTTTAAACTTTACTTGAAATAAGTTGAGAAAGGAATTGAATATCACATTTAGCGAATTTAATTGGACAATTAGAAATCGTACCCGTAAATCTGTATTTGTAATCTCAAACTTTTATTGATAAAGATAGTCGACTAACCGACTATTTTAGTAGACTGAAGATTTTAGTCCCAAGCACGGTAATTATATAGTCCCTCCCTGGCCATGAACTTCCCGTTTCTGATTCAACTTCTGCCTAACTGATAGGGATCAACAGACAGTAAAAACTCTCCCACTTACATCCACTGTCTCCGTAAAACCTCCACCAATAAAGACAAACTATTTTTAAGACTAAAACTAAAAAGGAGTGTAAAATGTACCTCACTCATGAGTTACTCGATGATTGAGTTTACACCTCCCCAATGAACAAAACACCAAAGTGTTGATTCATTTATTCACTCAACCAGTTACATACATTTACGAAGTTGCGTATCTCTTAAGACTGGATCTCTCTCAAAGTTGAACAGATGCTTCAACTGTGTTCATCGAGTATGCGACAAATTGCTTTCTAAAGCAGCATCAAGACCATCCGCAACCATCTTGGGGCCTTTACCTTGCAAGGCTAACGCAACAACCTCAGCCACAGACAAGCCAAAAGTTGAATTCTGCGCCTCCAGCCACCACTTCCCTTTTCCCGAGGTTCTTATTGCGGTAAAGAGCTCACTCAACTCCAGCACCGTAGCACGACCCACCTCAGAGTACCTATATAACCATAACAAATACGGCTGCTTCATCTTCATTGAAACACTGCTCTCACCACTCGCATCCTCAATAGGATCCTTCAGCTGATCAACATATAACAAATGAATCTTCCCATCAATCCGCACTTTATACATCCCTTGCGACTCACGTAAAACAGCCACGCCTCGCACCTTCTACCCTTTCTCAAGCTTATTACCCTCTTTAGACACCAACCTCTACACTAACTGCTCTGGCTCCCAGAGCGATGCTGAACGTCGATGCTGGTCTGTAGCCTGCAACAGCGACGCCTTAGCGACTTCATCTGTAATGGCGACAACCTTATCACGTACAGCAGCCTCACAAAGTAAATCTCGACCTAAGACATCCAATAGCCTCGCCTGTACAACCATATTCACTTGAGACTTATACTGCCTACCGGTGACATGATAATACGGACTAACACCAGTGGATGAATTCACCGTCGCATTGCATGCCAATACCACAGAGTATATATATATGCCGACCAAAGCGCTTCATAACCCACCGGTAAACTCTTCGCCAACCAATCAACAATAGTACGCAGTACACGCTCTGCACGGCCATTGCCTTGATGCCCATTAACCGAGACATAGTGGCATACCGCCCCTTATTGGCCCAAAAATCCCTCATTTCCTCTTATGCAACAGACCCACCCTGATCCATAAAAACATGTCCCAAGGGGGCACCTGTTGCTGCAGAAACTCTAGCACACCTTTCCTATTCTTCTCTCTCGCCATGTATGGTCGACACCAGATCTTCCGCAAAAATACGATCAATAGCTACAACCGCACCTTGAAAACCATACACTGCCTTATGTAGCGACAAACGATCCATGCCAATGCACAAACCAACACCCGTAGGACGCTTAGGATAAGCAAAACCACCGTGCCACGAAGCTTGGTAACTTGTTGACAAGCCACACATGCCTGGAGAACTGAAGCTACCTGGGATTTGAAAACATCCTCCCCATACCTCTGCTTCGAGAACTGCCACGTACGATACACACCCGCATGCGCCAACGTTTGATGGACTAACACCACTACATAATCCTTCAAAGGTTTAATTAACTCCGCCCATGTACTTAAACTAATACATTACACCTGTGCCTGTGCTACATCTCCACACTATCCCATCCACCCACAGCACTGCATTATATAACAGAGCTGATCTGCTGCTGCAGAAGACCAAGCCGCATTTTAAAATCCAAACTCTCACCTTCAGCAGCCGAGTGTTCCTGGAACGCCAGGCGTCCTCGCAAAGCAACCAACTCCGCTTTGCGCTTTTCCATATTAAGGCGCGCTTGATTCATCGAAAGATCAGTACTCTCATCAAGTTCTAACAAACCCATCCGAGCACATGCGGCAAACTTAGTGTTGCCAACAACCACAGGAACCGTGATGGGATCAAACCACCAAGGCATCCTGCTCAAACCATCCGCCACCTCATTCTTAGAACCTTCCAAATATCACACATCCATATCGGACGACCTAATAAACATCACATCCCTGCATCGACGCTTACCAACTGGTTCCATAGCAAACTCAAACTAATGTATCACCCCTAACAAAGGTCTATGGTTCGTCTCAGCACGCATCTCAAACTTCTTAAAACCATAGGCTAGTGCAGTAAACACCCTATCTGTCGTTGAGAGATTGGCATGAAAGTTAATTTTCGAACTAACAAACCCCACGGACAACCTCTGATCATCGCGCCACACACATAATGATGGCCCCACACCCAAATCAGACGCATTCATTTGCAACAGTAACTGCTCATATTGAGTAGGTTCAGCCAGAATCTTCTTAGCCTGCAACAACTCACGCACAGCGACAAATGCTTGCTCCTGTGCATCCTTTCACCTAAAACGCACTCGCTGTTTAACTTAATCACTAATCGGAGCCAGCAACTGCGAAAAATCTGGCACATATTTTGACCACCACCCAAAACATTGATACCAAGAACGCACTTGCACTTTAGTCTCAGGGCGTGGCATATCCAAAAGCGCTTGCAATTTAATCATCGAGCCATCTTCTGTAACTGACCGACCCATAACAACCATAGGCTCCTCCTGATACACAAAATCGCACTTAGCAAGCCATAATTTAATACCCTTCTGCCGAAAACGCCGAACCATATCCACAATGCCATCCCAATGCTTCACTGGATCATTGGCACCCAAACCTGTATCCTCGATATATGTGAGCTTAGGCACAGTTAACCAATCCGTGTCATAAGCATTCTCAATCAAGCCAGCCTTCAATAACGCATACACGTTTTTCCTCATAATTCCATCAACCTCTAATCTTTCTTTTTATATACTTGCCGCACTGGTATACCTCCATGTCCGATCTTAAGTTGTAGCATATGATCCTTCACAAAACGCGGCGCCCTGCCATCGTAAACAATATTTCGTATAGCTGCATCTACTATCGCCAAATCATTCATCATCTTACCTGCCTTCTGTGCCAAGACCTCCAATCCCGCCGTATTCAATTGCAAATGCACATCAATTACACCCTCATTCTCACAACTCTTACAACCGACCAAACGACGTGATTTCTTCCGCGCGCATGTACAGCAAAGGTGCTGCCACATGCTGAATATAATCTAATGCAGGACCTGTCGCTTCACTTGACACCCAATCATTAAAACCCATAGCTGTCTCACGAATCGTCTGCACAGGAAACAAAGTATACTTCGTAACACTCTGCCTCGTCAATTCCGCACCTGCCATATTACGCATTTGCAACTCCTCCCTACCAAGCAGTACATCAGCATCATACGGCACACAGTCCATCACCCACGCATTCAATCGAATCACCTTCTCCCCGACCAATGTCGGCACCGTCAACTCAAAATCTTTCACCTTATACTCAACGTACACCGGACCACCAAACCATTAATCCATTCGCCACACATAGCATACCTGACTGTTAGACCAAGGCTCCCTGCCACACGCCGAGAAATCATCGACATATCCGCCCCTGGATTCATAAAAGTCCTCAAATACTTGTCCATCTCCCTGACATGCCCATCCACCATTGGCAACAAAGGACCCTCAACACCAGCAGCTGCAGCATATCAATATGTCTTTCAGTTTGGCCTCGCTGCCTTCCTTGCCGGCGCTGCAGCCACTGCGACATGCTTAGCAATTTCTGGCGGACAATGCTTGGCAGAATGCCCCTTCTGAGCACACGCATGACATACCAACTTCTGCAACATAGGACACATACGTACAAAATGTCATGGTTCCTTACAAAAAAATACAATTACCTTTTAAACCACTAGTATCCCAAAAGCTGCAACTTGCGTCACAGCTGCTGCTTGAAATTGCTTCTGCTTCGCCTCCATACGCACATGATGTCTCTTATTCGGCTGTTCTTTTTCAAGCTGAAAAGCCACCGCATCTTCTTTCATATATGATAGCTGATCCAAGACATCTACCAAGCCACCACTCAACCAGTTTCAAAACCATGTTCCGATCTGCTTTACTACCATCGAATAAAGCTTTAAAAGACTTACTGTACGAGCCGTCAACCCTGTCCAATCCTCCAGCACCTTCTCTCTTGATCCTGCATCCCCAGCTAAAGTCATCATGGAATGGTCCAAGTCATTGTTTCTAGGCAAGGCACTAGCCATCTGGCCCCATGCTGACCTTTCTTAGCCCCATTTCTTCGAATCTGCTTCATCAACACTTCATACTGCTGCTTCGATACTCTCAAGACCCTCTTCGTAGCTTCCTGCGCTTCTTTATCGACAACTTCTAACTCACTATCATCCTCCACCCCTTCATGCTCTATCTCCTCAAACGCATCCCTTACCTTCATCACCTTCTTAGCTTCATTCACCGCTAAAACATATCGTGCACTATTGTCCTTCAATTCTCTCAAGGCTACAATGACTTTGTGCGGTTTATTACACCAGCTGCCAATTAATTCGCAAAATCTGCCTGTGATTTGCCCACCTCGAAGGAATCCTTAAATATCGAATACACAGCCGCAGCCGCCATCTTCAAGTCCTTAGGTTTGGTTCTCGAGGACTGTACGAAGGTCTCCAACTCTGAACTAGTCTCTAGGGTCACTTCGTGTAAAAGCAACTGCGCCGGGGAACCCTCTTTCTTGAGCGCAGTCTCATACGCCTTAGTCTTCTGCACCAGAGCTCAACACTCCATCAGCACAGTCACAGGTTTGCGTCTCACATGTCTCCACAACGACCCTAATGAATTCACCTCTACATACGACATATTTCTACTGCGTTTAGTTGTAATATCAAACGCTTATGCTCTAAAATTTATTGAAAAAGATAGTTGACTAAGCGACTATTTTAGTAGACTGAAGATTTTAGTTCAAAGCATGATAATTATATAGACCCTCCCGGCCCAAGAACCTCCCGTCTCTGATCCAACTTCTGTCTAACTGATAGGAATCAGCCGATAGTAAAAACTCTCCCACTTACATCCACCTCAGTAAAACCTCCACCAATAAAGATAAACTATTTTTTAGAACTAAAAAGGAGTGTAAAATGTACTTCACTCATGAGTTACTCGACGGTTGAGTTTACATATCTACATTTGTGACTTTCCCATATAGGCCATGTACATATAGAGTATTCAGAATTGAACTAAGCCACTTCCATCTTGATGCCCTGACCGACCACATTTTTTAATTCATTCTGGTCCCGCAAAGGGTGTCGGGAGCCCTGCAATCATAATTTGAGCTATTGTCGAACACAATGACGACCTTGTCTGCTGTCCAAAGCTTTCTCATCAATCTCTTTCGCAATTACTCTGCTATTAGTAGACCCATCCAATACCATATGCGTTTACACCTGGACGGATCGTCATTCGCGCACCTTCTCTGACACCGAATGCATGTACTGGAGACGAAAGTGCATCCGAAAGCTTAACCCTCGCTATTTTCTCACAGTTATAATCGCTCGATTATTGATCTGCCCTTTGATTTCTTCTTAACTTTGGATTCAAATGCGCCACATCACCCATACTTGTCATCCAGTTGTTGGAAACATTCGTAGTGGAATAGAATATGTACAGGCTGTTGTTCAGCGCCTGCTGTGTATTCAGGAGTATCCACGGCCATCATATCCTCACCAGAATATATTAAGGCACATTGTACCTTCCATTGTATGAGTGGAAGAAATGTATTGCGATTATATTCGACTACCTCAGGGCGTTTATGCCCATCATAATAGACACATTTTGAATGAGCTGGTTGTTTTTAGCTTTGCCAATAAATAATTCTCTAGCAGTGGTAGTCGTATGCTGATTGATTTATTCTCACTACTGCTTGTACTATCAGGAGGACAGGTGACATTCAAAGTGTGCGGTTGACGATGATTGATGGCGACCAATAAGTACTGAGTACAGAACTAGTGTCATCGTATGATGCTTGATTCACTGACTTACGGAGGACGAAAGCAATGGTGCCGATGGCATGATATATAGGATTTTTTATATCTGTGAGATCAATTTTACGACTTTGAGCAGTTTATAGTAAGAGAATATCCTCTACACTTATCATTATATAAGTACTTCAACGTACTTGATAAAAAGAAAGGTTGCTCATTAACGTTTCTTAAAGATGTTGAAAGAAAGAAAAATACAATTTGATGTCAAGAAAGCTGGTGTGACGAGTGAAAACTTCATGTAAAACAAAATCACGGCTATTAAGATGTTTGAAACAGACTTCTCACAATATAGCTGAATCCCTTTACGCTACAAATTAGTGTAGCAAGACAACAGTACGTGGTAAGAGTACTTATATAGTAGTCCCGAAGTGGTTCGGGTTGCTGCCGTGTTTATCTGTTATTGACTAGATCTTCATGGATGCGGAAATCTATCCTTCGATTATTTTTGTCTTCAAGGCAAAAGATCGACCAAATCCCACTGGCCCAGACTACATAGTATTTTACACTGTCAATTATAGTCTATAATGAAAATCTTGTTTTGGTATTAAACCGACGGATGATCGGAGTGGGATAAAGTCCCTGTCTTATATCCACTTTGTCCACTTTAAAGTATGGAAAGGACAAACTATTTAAAAACGTTCCACATCAACTCCATTTGACGACTTTGACGCAAAACACGTTGGCATCACAAGATCCATACTAGAGTTCCGACACATACCAGGAGATAATTCGTGTAGAAAAGCACAAGCCGTATAGATAGCAGAGATTGAACGATATATGACGTTTAAAAGGCATTCTATATGCGACTGATAGCTTAAGTAGGTAAGAGTATTTATTTTGCAGTCCTGAGTTGATTCGGGTTGTTGCCATATTCATTTTCATCTTGACTAGTTCTTCCTGGATACGAAAATATAACCTTCATATCATTTCCGCCTTCGAAACATCAGATAGATCACATCATATTGGTGATAACATCTAATTGGTTCAGTCTACGTAAAATAACCATCTGTCAAATATAAAGTCGATGATGGGTATTTTTTTTTGGGTGGCAAATCGACATATGGTCCAAGTCACACGTCCACTTTGCTCACTTTAGAGCATGGAAAGCACAAATTATTTGCTCAAGAAGGCAAACGACTTTGCAGTTTATAAAACATTTCACATTATCTGACGATTCTGTCGTAAAAAAACGTTGATAATCCAAAATTCAGACTAGAGTCACGACACATGCCAGACGATAATTCGTAATAAATAGCGCAAGCCGCATAGATTACTGGGATTGAACGTAACACAACGTTTAAAGTGCATTATATACGAGACCGAGAGCTAAGCTATTCAATTAATTTACAATCTTCGTGGTGTAGATACTATACTTACCATTCCACCATTAAATTGTGCAACCAAAGCCCGATTCGTACCCATCTTCCCCCACCCCCCCCCCCGACATTCCTTTACGCCTAACTGAATTTAGTAAGATTACATATTAGCAATACCAACGAATAAGTGGATCGATATATATTTGATTCTTGCCTCTGCTCATGTAGCTATCCACAAGACAAGAGATTGTGTATGACAAAATAGTACAGCTTTGAGATCAAAAGGTCATTGTGTCTTTATCTGTTTGTGTCCTTATCCATATTACCCTGTTCTCGTATGACGGGTAGGCATATCTGAATGGAGTTTAGCACCGCCCTTTACAATGCGTGATATTAACACTGACATGGTATGTTCCAGTTGCATATTAAAACAAACGCAAAAATCCAACGAATAAGTGGATCGATATATATTTGATTCTTGCCTCTACTCATGTAAGCTATCCACAAGACAAGAGATTGTGTATGACAAAATAGTACAGCTTTGAGATCAAATGGTCAATGTATCTTTATCTGTTTGTGTCTTTATCCATATTACCCTGTTCTCGTATGAAGGGTATGTATATCTGAGTGGAGTTAAGTACCGCTCTTCACAATGCGTGATATTAACACTGACACGGTATGTTCCAGTTGCATATTAGAACAACGCAACAATGCGTCTTCGTTCATTCCATCATCTTAAAAATGAGAATGAAAATCGTTCGAGTGAATAGTTCGCTCTGGCCACTGCTGCTTGCATAGATCTCTGATGTTATCAGTGAAATCTGTTTGTCTGATCTGAATCCGAGCTTATACGCGTATGAGAATTCTTCATGGAAGATTGAAATTTAAACTTTGCACGATTGGTCTTTAATAGCTTGATATGTCAGCTGGTTCATGATAGAGTCACTTCACTCTGATATAGTATTCGAAACTCTGATGAATCACAATTTTTTTAGAATGGTATATATGAAAGTGAGTCTTTTCTCCAGTGGTCACCCGGCAATTGTCGCACCAATATAATGTGTATTATTCTGGCTCGTTTGTATAACACGGCGAGCTACCGGATAAACAAGGTATAATTATTAACCTGAACTATGGCTACCGAGAGCTGGACATTTGGATACCAAGATAATAATTTTATACGATTGAAACGGTTACGAGTATAAGTAATGACCCCGAGTGTAAATAATGATCCTGAGTGTAAGTTATTTGTGGAAGTTGTAGTAAATTGAATGAATGGCTGAACCAACCAACCTAGTACTAGATTGGTAGGTTCAGCCTTTTACCTAATTTATGGCAAAGCTGTAAAGCATCGCGAGTACGTCGATCTCAATACGCATGATCCGCTTCTGAGTGGATTTCTCTGAACATTCCATGCTGGGATCACCACTCCTGGACGAATTTCTCTGAACCTTCAGGCCTAGCATATGTTAGTTCGTTTCGTCATTCACCTAATTTACTACAGAACCGGAATGGTCGCCAATTAGATTTGTAATATGGGCTATTAGTAAACCGTACTCTTATTTTAGTACCCGGATGATCAAAACGAGGTACTACAGATCAAGAACGAATTGTATTTGTTTACTCTTTCGTCAGATTCTTATCGTGTGTCAAAAGCAAATCATTCGCGATATTAAAGTACGTCATTCGATTCGCTACTATAATATAAAATTCGAGCGTAGTGTCACGTAGACATCAACAACGGTCTGTAAATAACTCTATCAACATATCATTTGACAAGCAGCCCTAGGATATTACACTCTTGAGTGAGTAGGCGCACACTTTACGTTTAAAAAGTACTAGTGCAAAAAGGTTCTCTTCGTGCCTTTTTTCTCTCGAAAAGTTTGACTAGATATTTGCATAGTCTTTGGCATCAGATTCTTATGCAAACCATTGAGATTGTGTCAATAGTGACACATTCGGTATGATAAAGTGCGGTATTCGATCGGATACTATAGTATTGATTTCGTGGGCAGTGCTACCCAGACGCCAGCTACGGTCTGAAGAGATTTAGTTCAGTATCGTCATTTCTTAACCAACCCTACGGC